TCTCTCTCTCTCTCTCTCTCTCTCTCTCTCTCTCTGTGTGTGTGTGTGTGTGTGTGTCTCTCTCTCTGTATGTCTCTGTCTCTCTCTGTCTGTCTCTCTTTTCCTCGCTCACTCTCACCCTCTCGCTTTCCTTCTCTCCCTCTGTCTCTCTCTCTCTCTTTAACACTCTCCTTCTCTCGTACCACTCCCTTTCTCTCTTTCAAACAACAAAAACATAAGTATGCATGCGCCCTTACCCCCTCGCTTCCATTCACTAAATTGTTTATACAAAATATTCTGATCTTTATAGCCATTACTCGGATCCTCTTATGCCTAAGATGAAAGGTCTTGAGAACTTCGAAGGAAAAATTCTGCACAGCCACAACTATCGCAGCCCTGAAGAATTCCGAGATCTCAGAGTTGTCATTCTTGGGGCAGCGGCCAGCGGTCAAGACATCTGTGTGGACATGAGTCCAGAGGCTAAAAGGGTAAAATATTTTACCAACACAACTAATTATTAATTTATGCAATAGCCTGAGTTGGGGGAGGGAGGGTTCGGGGGAGAAGGACAGGGTGAATACTGGGCGTTGATTATTGGACATGCGAAATCTCTACAAGTACAACAGCGGTAGGAAGATACATGTTAATGTGTAGGGAAGACAGGGAGTTATCTTCGAGAGAGGGAAGACATAAAACAGACTACGGTACTAGAAAGAATCATTTCATTTGCAATAATGATGACGCTGGTGGTGGTGGTTATGATGATGGTCCAGTCAAGGTGGGCATTTTATAACAGCTGTTCTTCTACTCAACCATATTTTTGAGGGTCGTGTGTTCAATGGGACATCGTTTTTCGATAAACTTATTTTGGTTTCTTTGCAAGGATGCATGAAAAGAGTGTAGGCACAGTATTTTGGGATATATAAGAAGAGAAAGCTACATGTTCTGTGTATTTTTTTTTAAACAATCGTTATCTACAGCCCAGGTCTTTTGCAGTCGTATGACCAAAGCAATCTTTGATACTTCAATCTCAGATATACCTGAGCCACAACAAGACACCACTGTCCACTGCTATACCTGACAACGTGGAGCAAGTCGACGGAATTGTGGAAGTATACAAAGAGTAGGTCATATTGTAGGATTGAATAAAAATGTTTTTCTCCCCGATCGACACGGTTTAGGTAATATGGGGGGACAACTTCTCTAACCCTGCCTGTCCGAGCCAGCCCGCCAATTTCATTCATTTTTGTTTGAGGGGGGGGGAGTATAAGACACTCTGATCTAAACGACAATGAAAGACAGTGTGCCAGGACCTTGGCCTAGCTCTTCCACAAAGGAAATGAGTAATCACTGCATCCCGGGTTGTCGTGGAAACAGACGATAGCCATTGGATGAAATGTTTGTATATATGCGAGTGAAGCTCAAACTTTTGACCGCGCCCGAGCACCGTAGCGTGCTCAATTTAATTGCAGTGATTTACTGCGTTTGCATGGCTTTGCACGACGGGGAGGCGTCCGTTTATAATAGAGTGTTATTATGACTAGTATAGATTGTGTAAAATGGTGAAATGGTATAGGTTTAACGCCCCTACCAACACTATTAGGTTATTTAAGAAGCGGAACCTTCGAGTTATATGTTCATCTCCGCAAAGATCGAGCCAAGTGGGACATTTCTGTAAAGTGCCTTTCCCAAGGACACATCACCGGACCAGGCTGAGGCTCGAAACCCCCAACCCGAAATCTCAATACATTTACATGTATTACGAGTCCGCAAGCCTAACCATAAGGCTGCCGACGCCGCCAAGCATTGGTGCCACTGGTATAACAATAAGAATATGTGATTCCTATAGAAGATTTCTTGTGCAGCTGCCAACTCAACCTATTTCTCAATTTGTTGTAATTCGCGTTGCTTTTCTAATTAAGTTGGGGTTTTTAAAGTTGTTTTTTTAATGAGCGTGTCTTGTCTGTAACTGAAGATAGCTAGCTTATCTTAGTTTACTTCCACGGAGGAATCTCGTCATATATAACAACTCAACGTGTGTATGTGTGCTTTCTTTTTTTCAGTTCAGTTCGACTGTCAAATGGTCAAGAAATCGAATGCGACGCCATTCTATTTTGTACAGGCTATTTGTACAACTTTAACTTTCTGGAACCAGAGTGTGGAGTTAAAATAGAAGAAAGTCGAATCGTGCCCTTGTATAAGCATCTTGTACACACCACCTACCCGACCATGTTCTTCATTGGAATGTGCAAGACCATCTGTCCGTTCCCCCAGTTTGACGCCCAAATTCAGTTCTCCCTGAAGGTAAGCTACTGACAGACAATTATAGAACAGAAGATTTATCTGACATTTCCTTTCCCTCATATGGCTTCTCGTGATTAATCATTCACAAAGGGGCTCTCGTAGTCTAGAGGTTATGGTGTTCACCTCTTATTCAATAGGTCGCAGGTTTGAATCCGGACAGCGACGGAAAATTGTCTCATCTAAAACAAACAGTTTCTCCTTTCCACCTCCTTGTCTGCTCTGTAATCGTCTGCTTTCGTCTTCACTTCCCCCCCCCCCCTCCCCCCCCCCCCTTTTTTTACCCCCTCCTCTGGACCCTGGCTCTTTCTGCTGCCTTTCAGCTGCTACTCCTTGGTTTCTTCATACTGCTGTCTTTCAGCCACATCCCTGATCTTAGGGTAGGTAATATCGCACACCTAACCCTCTCGGATAAGGTCAAAAGAGTCTCGGAGGTCCCGTGTGCAAGTTGCCTTGGTGGTCCTAAAATCAATAAGAGTAGGCTTCGGCAGCCAGTTGGGCAAAATTCGAAATTGATTTCTACCAACTGAAAATACTCACTGTATCCCGCACGTTCATATGACCTTATGCAGTTGCGACCACCTACAAAACAAAACAAAATTATACATAATGACCAGGAAAAATATTTTTTTCAGCTCCCTGCGAGAATACAAGGTTGTACCTTATGTCGAGCGCAATGTTTGTATCGTTTTCTGAATAAAAAGAACCCTTTGTTACCACAAACTCAATTTGACCGAAATCAACATTGTGTGCAACGGCAAAGAGCCGAATTATTACACCATAGACCTGGGTGAGCTTACATGGAAGAAATTGTTATATCATTAGGTCATTTAAGGGGCCGGACCTCCGAGTTTAAAATCCATATCCGAAAGTACCAAGCCAAATGGAAACTTTGAGTAAAGTGCTTTTCCCAAGGACACAACGTAGGACCGAGCTGACGCTCGAACCCCCGAACCGACAATCTCACGATTATGAGTCCAGTAACCTAACCACTAGGCCACCGACGCCAATAGAAATAAAAAGTATAAATCTATTTGAAAAGATGACAAAAATGATATGTGGGTCAGGGATCTGAATGCCTGTTAACGTCTTGTTGATTATGGGAACGGTCATGCACTCTGACTCATGTCATGATAGGCTATCAATAAATGACACACGTGTTGTCAACATGTCTGTTGAGGTATTGGAAGAGTTAACTCCAAACAGATGAGATGAATCGTGGATGACAGCTTGTTTTTGCTGTTGGGGTATTGGTTGTTTTGTTTTGTTTTGTTTTTTTACTCCAAATACGTCGAGGGCAAAGCATTCATATGAATCCAACCTCAAAGATTTTTGAAAAAAAAAAATAACAGAGAAACAGCTTATTGTGTCTCAATGCTTTCACTTGTTTTCATTTCGGTGAACACAGTCCCACGGGAACCTGTCGTTTCACCGTTTGCTTAGTTAATCTAGTATCATACTGGACTACAAAGCGGATGGTTGTAGTTTAAATCTACAATGCAGCATTTTGAGCTTGAGTTGTCTTTTTGGGTGGAGTTGGGGGGGGGGAGGGCAGTTAAGGCTTTAAACCCATCTGGCACAGTTCTATTGTAGATGTTATATTCGGAGGGCCAACTTTTTAAATAACTCACCTGTCCCCGGGGTTTTATGCACCCCGCATAATTTAGCAAAATTTGATCATTTTTTTGGGCATAATTTCTGGTTATTTGCCTTTATCATTCTCTGTAAAGAAATTAAGAGAATCGCATAATTTCACACTTTTTGGGCTCAGTTTGCATAATTTCATAATTTGTATTCATAAAACTGCGGGGACAGACTTACAGTATTGAAAGGGGAGCTGGACATATTCTATGACAATGACAATGGCTGTCTCACCAAAGCTCGACATTTTCCCTATTGACTAACACTGATGGTTATTTATTCTATTCAGTGTGTAAGTCAGTTTTTGTTTTTAGTTGATATAGATTAATGTTTGTTCGAGAGCCTGAGTAAAGAAAAGCACAGCGACACAAAACGGTCATTTATTTTAGTACAGCAAAGAAAGCAAGACAAACAGAAACAATAGAGGCTCTTGGATTTTCAGATGTACTTATTATATATTATTATTATTATTATTATTATTATTATTATTATTATTATTATTATTATCATCATCATCATCATCATCATTATTATTATTATTATTATTATTATTATTATTATTGTTGTTGTTGTTGTTATGATTATTTTTATCAAACATGTAACGATATCAAAATAGTATTCAAACTGGCTCATTCTAGGTGCTGGATGGTCGGTTGGTGCTTCCTTCGAAATTAGAAATGGATGAAGAAACAGAGACAGACTACAAGACTAGACTGGAGCGCGGGTTGCCACACAGGTACAAAATAGCACACATCGCCACACGCTTCTCCACTCGGTGTGCCATGCATCAGCACGTTGTGGTTGTTTTTTTATTTATTATTTTTATGTTTCACTTTTTTGGTGGGGGGTGAGGGGTTGTTTTTGTTTTTGGTTTTGTTCCTTTTTTTGGGGGGGGGGAGGGGGGAGGGTTGTTTGTTTATGGTTGTTGGGTTGTTGTTTTTTTGGGGGGTAGATGTCATTTTGGGTTTGAGGTAGAATCGATTGGGGGTTTATACTTGTTTATCCGTTCGGAGTTGTTTTGTTTTCTGTATGTTTTTGTTTGTTTGTTTTTGTTGTTGGTTTTGGTTGGGGGTTTTTTTTTTTGGGGGGGGGGTTGTATGTGTGTGTGTGTTGGGGGGGGGGGGTTGATTATTTATCGTGTTTATCGTGATGGTGTTGCAAGTGGATGGTTTGTTTCGTTGGTATTTTTTTACATATTTAGTTGTCTTTTTGCAGTTTCAAATGTGGGGGAGGGTCTTGAAAACCAGAAAGTGGTTTGCTGGCGTGAGATTTACTGAGACGTTAGCCGATTACTGAAAGTACGAACGAGTCATAAAATACCAAGACTTAAATCTGCTTAGTCCATTTGTGATGATAAAGTAACCATCAGTACCTCTGCCAGTGTGTTGACTGGTCAGGTCAGACATGATACAGAATCTTTCAATAACCGAATTAAAGTCAGGTTATTTAAGAGGCAACCTTCAGTAACCTTCCGTCCGTCGCAGAAATGAATAAACTAAGAAAAGTGATCTAAGTCTGTGGACGAGAAAATACTCGGTCAGATTTTCTCCCAGCTGTTTTCTTTATTTTATATTTTCTTATCTTGACTTACATCTATGTTCTTCTTGTCTTCCGTGGGGGTTGGTTGGGGGGGGGGGGGGGGAGCTACTGACAGTTACTTCTTCAGCACTTCTCTCGGCTGTATCTTTTTTCTTTGCTTGATTTTTTTCTGCGCTCATGGCAGTTATCTTACGTCGGACTAGATCTGTCCTTTAGAGTAAGGGAAAAACGAGATCGAACGTCAAAAACTACAGAGGAAAAGAAAGGAAATAAGATCTTCAAGAGGTGCCCTCCAACCACCGCTGACCGTTATCGTGCTGATAATTTCTCTATACTATAACCTAAAACAAATTAAATGGCTGCTTTTCATTTGTTTCGTCAATTGTAAATAAACTGGCATTCTCTCATCATCTAGACACGCCCACCTTATGGGACCTCGCCAGTGGGAATACAACTCTCAACTGACTACAATGGCGGGACTCGAACCCATTTCCCCCAACGTCCAGCTGCTCTACGAGCACGTGCATGCCATCCGGGTCAAGCAACTGACCACGTACAAGAGACTCAACTTCAGGCTCACAGGACCGGACACATTCGAACAGTACTAAGATTATATAATGATAATATGACGGGACACAGTGGAATCAGGCGCTTGTCAATGTATGGAGTTTTTGGTACCGCTATTTTTTTAAACTTGTTCATTTGCCTTGTTTATGGCTTTAAAAAGTGCTTCTTACACTTGAAGGAAGTGGGGGTCACCTGGTGACACAGGTAAAATTAGCGAAAAAAAGGCCGCTTAAGTTTGATGACTTCCAGAGCTTGAGTGACCATACATTTTTTATGTCTTTGATGAATGTTTTTCCGTAAAATCCCTACGACATGAAAAGAGTTGTGCACAATTAACCCCCCCCCCCCCCCCCAACAAAAAAAAGATAAAAATTGCCCAAAAATTAGGAAAAAGTCTGTTTTCTCCATTTCATTATTATGACGATCGCCGGATTTCACCACGATGCAACACACTTCTCGTCATCTGCAAGCTTGCTCCCTCAGTATGTCTTGTCCCATTGTCTCCTGTGGAGACCTTCATATACATGAAAGTCTATAATTGCTTCAACCCGTGCTGGAAAAGGTTTCTTTAGCGCTTTTTGTTTTACAAATTGCGTCTTTCTTCTCCAGCAATTGTCATATACATGTGTATTTACCATTTCAGAGAACAAATGTTCTAGGAACAAAAATAAGGCACTTATTTTCTTTGTTAGCGCAACTACCAAGTGTGCAATACTTTGAAAATTCAAGAAAATTGAATGCCCCTGATTCTCGTATTTAAAAAGTGGTACATAAATAATATGTTCTTTTCCCTTTCATCATCATCCTTTTTCATCCTATGCTAGAGTATAGGCCATGAACAAGAGCTCTCCATCTACTTCTATCCTGGGCTTTAGTCCCCACGTCTATCCAGCTGTATCCCATCTTTTCTACTTTTACCAAAGGTTCCTCTTCCGAATATGCCTATTTTCAGGCTTTCCTCCTCTCCTTTTCCAATTTTCTTTTCCTTTACCTGCGTGCTTTTGATTTTCATGCTTTTCATCAAATGCTTTTTGTCCAGTGATCTGAAAAGCTGACTTGGCTTACGCTATGAAACCAAAATGGCAACATTGAGATCATGTAAACTTGTCTCTTAAAGTAGTAAACTGTTGTTTCAAAAACAAATACCACCACTATCACCACCCCCACCCCACAGATTTCACAAACTGTACTACTGTAAAGAAGATGTTATAACATTTATACACAGAACTGAAAATAAAAATACAAATGTGTGAAGATTAAGATCTCGCTTGTTCGTGTTTGTGTAATTACTGGTGTTTGCATCGCCTTGGTTTTTTTCTTGTTGTTGTTGTGTTGTTGTTGTTGTTGTTGTTGTTGTTGTTTTTTTGGGGGGGGGGTTGGGGTGGTGGTATTTTTTCCAAAAAAAACCCACTTTAAACTACTCTGGGCTTGGGTTGTCAATTTAGTTTTAGGAAGAGTTTTACGACACTTCAACACAATAAGACCATATAAGTTGCAAAGATTAGAAGTGTTTCATGAGAGTAACAAACTTTAAAAAGAAGGAGAGATGAGGAACATAAGCTACAAAACCCCCCGCTGAACCCGACAGAAAGAAAAAAAAAATTTGGTGGAACTTCCAAAAGCGGAGTAAAGTAGCCGGATGTACTGAATGCTAACTTTGATGTTGCTGCTATGTGAAAAGAAAAGTACAAAACGAGCTAATTGCAGGCATATAATAAAACAGGTGCCGCATCAGAGGCCTGCAAATCGCAGAAAGACTTTACAATATTTTCAAGTTCTCAATAAACCCACTCACAATTGCAACAATGGACACCTCGAAAAGCAGAATAAAACACAACAAAGCGAGTTTTTTAACAACTGAAATTCACTTGCTGAATTGTACGTCCGCTCATAATTAAAAAGTAAATTTTCTTTGCTTTACATTCATCTTAAGGGCAGGATAGAAAACTTTGAAAACTTTCCTGAAAAAAAAGGCCTCCGACCATTCGGAAAGTCAGCTCCCAACACGTATGGCCTGAAGTAAAGGAAAATACAAACTTTTCTGACAGTGGTTTCAGAACACAGTCTGAGGAAGAAAGAAAAACTAAACGTAATAATAATAGATAGCATTGATCCTCACAAGGTGCAGACAAACTTCCTCACAGTGAAAGGAGAGTAACAAACACAGTAAAACATGACTATAGCGGGACCCCCTGCAGCGGGGCCATCCCTACCGCGGGACCTTACCGGAGTCTTGTTTTTCTTCTATGTAACCTCAATTACCTGTGCTCGGGTTTAGCGGGGCAAGGAAAGGCTCGAACTCGGATACTGCGGAAGAAATCGAGCAAGCTCTAGCTGGGATGTGGGGTTAGGGGGCTGTAGGCGGGCTCCAAACAGACAGTCAGCGATGCGGCGATGTGATTGGCCCACTATTGACCAGTCCAGTGATGAGTGAGGTGGGGCAGGCGGCAGAGAGAGTTGGTGCGGATCCAAGAGACGCGTTACGTGAGCCACTCCAAAAGTGATGTGCCGTAGGCCTAGCTTAGACGCTCAGTATGAGAGCGTATAGGCCATAGCCCTCGGCCTAGGCTAGGCCAAAAAGTAAAAGAAGAGGAGAGCGTGTAGTGTGTGATTCCTGATTCTTTGAATTGCGATCGTGGATGCTCATTGGCCTGCATACGCACGTATCCACTTCACCAGTTCTACAGTTGGCCTTCCGGTGCGATAGACAGCACAAACAATGGGACCGAGGAAAATCTGGCTTCCAACAAAGACAAAGGGAAATGCTTCTCACTCGAATTAAAGGCCGAGATAATCAACGAAGTTGACAAGAAAAGGAAGACTAAACCGCAAGATTTTTTATTGATATGGAAGGGAAGTAATCATGTGGATTTTCGGAATTTTGCGGTAATTTCCCATTTGCATTCCTGTGGCGAGAACGTGCCAACAGGGGGATTTTTCTTCTGGAACCAATTAATGACTGATTCAAAGTAAGATCTGAAGTACGACAGAATTGCGTCCTATCCCCCCCCCTGTTTATAATATATATGGACGGACAAAATAACGCAAGACGCAAACCAAAGCCCTGAAAGCCTATGAACTTCTATTTTCAGACGACCAATGTTTTATCCATCCAAACCAACAAAGCCTCCAAAATCAGACTACCGAACCGAACAACAGCTGCGAGAAATTTAACATGAAAAGTAGCACAACAAAAACAGAAGTTATGAAAGTGAGCCGTAACCATAGTCCCCTGAACGTCCATGTCAATAGCAAACAAATGAAACAGATGAAAGAGTTTAAATATCTTGGCAGTACTTTTTCTGAAAACGGGTCTATAGACAGAGAAATAGAAATGCGAACTCAAAAACCCTGTCACCTACCAGCTCGCACCCCTTCTATCTCATCCAATCACCTCCATGGACACCAAGAGACCGCTTATTACCTCAATATGCATTCCAACATTATTCTACCAGTGCCAGACGTGGACATTAAGTAAAACCCATGAAAGCAAAATCACTGAAAGCGAAATGAAATGTCCTCGCAAAACCCTTAACATCACTAGACGATACAGGCAGAGAAATGAAGTAAGAGCAGCTATCGGCATTGAGTCCTGCCTGCATTACATAGAAAGACAGAGAATAAAATGGTTTGGCCACCTGTTACGTATGTCACCTGACCAGCCAGCCTCGAGAGCCTACAACACCAAACACTCAAGCTATAAAGGAAAAGGAAGGCCACGCAAAAGGTGAATCAAGGGTGTCTAAGAAACCTTGAGAAAACATAATATCACAACTGAAAGAGCTGTGGAACTGGCCTACCATAGAAAACTGCATCTCCCCTCGACACTTAACGGCAACAGATGATGAAAAAGTAAAAGTAAGACCAAATGTCCCGCTACAGCCGTGTTCTATTGTATCTCCTTTTCATGAAAGCTTTTGGAGAACCACTCTCATTACAGATAAACTTTTTTTCAAAACCACACAGCTCATTCATCCTTCAGATTCCATCAACACAAATCATACTCACCCAAGACCTTTCTTCAAAGCTGTATTCATTTATCAGCACGTACGGAAAATTCTCAAACAAGTGAAAAGTCAGACCAACACAGTCTTTTTCTAAATTTCAAAACGAAATTTTCTCATGTTAAATGGCAAGTAACATCTGACAATTTGAACACAATTGACGTACTCAGACCAAACAATGCTGATACTATGACAACACTTTTTCCATCAAGGGAAACAAGCGCACTGCGACACTCAAATTGGACAGAAAAGAGAGAGAGGCCGGGTCAACATGGATGTGAAAAAATTGAGAGCCGTCCTAAGGGTTGTCAAACAGTAGCCCTCTTTGCCCATCATGTACCTGTGAATCTGAAGTAGAAAATTTAAAAAAGAACAGATTTTGTTTGTTTGAGAGAAGCAAATCAACACTGTAACTGCCACATAGTTCTAGGAAAAAAGCATGATATACAAACAGAAACAATAGAGGGTAATTAAAGAATATGACCTTTCTGCGGCACCCTCTAACCCCCATCTGGCATGACAGTAAGCAGTACATAGTTTGCAGTGGTTGTTACCATGTCTCTCGAAATACAACTTTGAGTCTGTTTTTTAAGTCCCATGTATCATTCATGTTCTGTACTTCGTATTGAAAGACGCCTAGATGATAATCTCGCTGGCTGGGTGCAAGAACCTGAATTCGAAAAATCATTCCCCCCCCCCCCCCCCCCCCCCCCCAAAATTGATGCTGGAGTAATCGCCCACGTTGTGTCAAAAGATGAGCTCACTAGGACCCACTGTAAAAAGTTGCTAAATAACGACTCAGTGTCAAGTGGGACCGAATACAGACAAGAACCCTTGACGTTTATGGGTTCATTTTCTACAACAAGGGATCTTGTCGGTTTCTTGCGTAGAAATCCTGCGAAAAAATGTTCCGATAAGTGATCTTGTTGGGCTATTGCACCGAACTCGGACCGGTCTTAGCTCTAGCCTACGCAATAAAATTATAACACTGTCATTCGGTTCTTTGGCACTGAAAGAAAATTCAGACATTCAAGAATACTTTGACGATACAGATAACGACCAAAGAGGTTATAAATAGTACTAGAAGTCGCGGATGTGACGTCACCCACGTAATAAAGCGAGGGCCGCGAGAGCACGCTCAGCTCGTGGTGCCGCCATCGTATTTTACGGCGCTTGCAACTACATAAGGTCATAATCTAGGCGGTAGGTCATAATCATATGAGCGCGCGGGACACATTAAATTTTTTCAGTTGGTAGGGAATTTAGAATTTTGCCTGGGTGGCGGTCGGAGCCTACTTTTATCGATTTTAGACCACTAAGGGATCTTTAACGTGCTCAACTTGCACGCTGGACCTCCGAGATTTTTCGCCCTTGTCCGAGAAGGCTAGACGTAGATGTTTCCTACAGAAGACCAGGGGTGTGGCTGCAAGACAGCAGTAAGGAGGAGCCAAGGATTAGCAGTAGAAAGGCTGCAAAAAGAGTCAGGAGCCCAGAGGAGGGGACAAAGGAGATGAGGGGGTGGGGGGCAGAGAGTGGGGAGGAAAGCAGATGACAGAACATTGCTAGAGAGCAGGAAAGGAAGTGAAAGGGGATAATTTTAGAGATGAAATTTTGTTCGTCGCTACCCGGATTCATACCCGGCACTTTAGAATGACAGGCGAACACCTTACCCTCTGGGCCACGAGAGCCCCCTCGTAGAGTATGAAGCGTTGAGCGCACAGTGAGCGCTTACTTCAGTTTTTTTTGTTGGTATTTTTTTAAAGTTTGCTTTTTGTTGCAGTTGTTGTTTAGTCATATAACATACATGCATACACAATAATGCACCTACTGACCGTTTGTGTGAAACATAATTGCACTGAAACGTAGGTTACAAACGAACGGAGAAATTTGTGTCGGTACATGGTGGGATCAGGCACTCGTCAATCTTTTGGGCATGTGGAGTTTTTGCTGTTATCTGAAAGCGTATTCTTTTGCCTTGCTTTCGATGAAAACAGTACCCATCTGTCGTGAATAGAAGTCGAGATATAGATTATTTACGATCGCGCGATTGAAGAAGGTGGGGGTCGCCTGATTTCAGAGGTAAGATTAACGAGAAATTGGCCGCCAAAATTAGGTGACCTCAAAAACTTGAGAGTCCTTGAAATCTAAAAATCTACATCTTTTGAGCCTTTGATCAATGGGGGTTTTATTCCAATAAAATCCACATGAAAATATGTTTTCTTTGAATATAAAAGGGGTTGAGCTTAGAATTTTTTAA